ATAACGGCTCTGGTGTCGTGTACACTCACGTATGTAACTCATTTATGCTCAGGGTTTCTGTTTATAGACTGTATATTTCACTATTTTAGCAGCTTTTATTACATCACTCATTTACAGGGTCACATTTTCCACATTTGGACTTGTGCGAGTATTACCTTTGTATTTAGTGGCTGTGGCGTTTCTCTATTTCTATAAGTCACGTGTTCTTGTGCTGCTTTATGGGCCGCGCAGAAACATAAAGGCCAAAGTTGCTGCTGTCACCTCAGACATGTTCAGTGTATTTCAACATAAAAAATAAGGATGACAGCTCAAACATAATGTTCATGTAAAGGATTTATAGCCGATTTTATGATCCGTTTATATGACATGAAGAGGTGTACCCACATAGCAATCGGAGTTCACTTGCACATCGCCGCGGGCAACGATCGGATACGCGCGGATCCGTAAAATAAGCGGATCGCGGCGGAGGCGCGGCTGATCCGCTGCGTATCCGGATCCGCCCAGGACCCGTTTTGGATCCGCTTTCAAACCGGGTTATCTGCCGCGGATCTGCGCGGATCTGTTATTGTGTCATTAGGAGCCTAAATATGCTTCAGATTTAATACTGATCCACTTCCTACTGACCTAAATACATCAGCAGCATTTGCATTGTAATTGTACATAAACCTTTTACAGCAAGTATTAAAACTAGGATATAAAGGCAAACATAAACTTAAACAATTTCAAAGTTGGATCAGTGATATCCTATCACTAAATCTCATTAGTTAAGAAAAAAAGAAACTTTTTTTTTTTTTTTACATTGTAAACAATATTTATTTAAATCATTAATTTGAAATCTTAGGACATGAATAATTATTATAATGTTATAGGACTTATATACCTTTGAGTTAACCAATGCTTCATTCTTAATATGAAAATGACAATTTACAGTTTTTACTAATAATAGTTCAAGTTAAGCAAAGTTTTTTTTTTTTTTTTAATGGCAAAAAAACAAATATAAGCTATATGAGTAAAAGCCTGGACAGATGAGGCAGAGTGTAGTCATACCATACTGTTTAAAACTCAAACTTAACTTGTGTTTACCACCACAGAACAATTAGACGGATGGTTGTTCTTATAGAGTGTGCAGTGTGGGAGCTTCAGAGCCTCTGTCTTTAGCTTCAGTCTGAGGCAGAGGTTTTGAGGCAGAGGCAGAGGATTTGAGGCAGAGTGCAGTGAGTCTGGCTCCTCTTCAGTCCTACTGGTGAAGATCCAGTCTGTCAGTGTCCAGGACTGGGCTTCCCCTTTCTCACAGCATCTGAAATGACACCAGTGTGTATTAAACACCCCATTACACCTCTTATTCTTGTAAGGAGTTAGAGTTCAGGTTTGTGAAGAACATTGTAAGTCATGACAGTGGCTGTGTGATTTGAATATGAAAGGTGAACACTTGATTGGAGAAATCTGTGCACTTACAGAGGGTCAGTCTTTAAACTCCACCACAGCAGGTTCTGAAAGAAACAATATGCACAACAACAGGTGTGATTATAATGTGCATATGTTTAGTTATGAAAGTTAATAAAAGTAGGATAATACAGTAAACTTACACAGGGTCTGTCTCTACATTTTGGAACTTGGCCCAGCAGAGGGAATTCTGTAAAACATCAAATAAGAGAAACACAAATATCAGTTTGGATCATTTAGGCCACAGTGTTTAATACAAGTGCAGTATTTACCTCCAGAGGGTCTTTATCATGCTGTTATGTCCATCTTCTTATTAACCATAGTATATATCTGAAACAGAGATGAAAAACATTATTTAACTCATAGGAAATACTTTAGCGCAGTAAAACTGAACTCTTTTGTTTTAGTATAAGCCTGAGTATGAACATGAGACGTATTCACTGCTGTTAATACACAATACTCTACTACATTTACTTTTACCACAACATTTAAAATATAATAATCAATTTATGATGTGTTCATAGTCAATTCAGTGTAATTTAATGTGACACATTAGTGTTCATGTGAACATCTCTCACTGAAAGCCTGAAGCCCGTCTCAAGTCCCATAACAGAAAGTTAGAGACAAGTCAGATCTGGCTCTAAACTAAATTTCACTGTCACAGAATCATTAAAAAGTACTTACTTCTGATCAGCGTGTCGGCCTCCTGATGGGACACTCAGCAGAAGGACAGGTCCTGATGTCATCTGGGGAAAAACAACATAAGTTTGGTTGGTTAGCTAACGTTAGCTGTTGTTAAAAGTTGTGCTTTTTATTACGTTACGTTATTGTATTATGGCACGTTGCGTTAAATTATTGTATTAAGGCACTGACATGATGCACTTTAGTCTCAACTCAACAGTCAAACACTCTAGCTACACAAATAATAATTATCTCTGGTTAAAAACACAATCAGATCAGACACCGGAGTCACCGTCGCTCCACAGCCGAAGGAGAGCGCCGAGAGCGTCCAGCCAGAAACGAGCCCGTTAGACAGACCAATGATCACGGAGAGAATTACATTTCTGTGATCGTAAAAATATACAAGAATATAAGTACGTTATATAAAAATAGTATTTAGACTGGGATCTAGCTCAAGAGACGGAGTTATCCTGACTCCTGACCTCACATCGTCTTCATCACTTCAGCTGCTCCTGTCGCTAACTTTCCTACTGCACTCGTTAAAACTGATAAAACACACAGAGTCACACATTTACACACACCACAATATAACGTTAACGTTATGTACATTAATGATGACTAATACAATTCACTTTTAAACTATTTCTTACAGTTTAAATCCGCGACAACAGGTGGATGCTGCTTCTTTCACTCAGGTCGATAACGGCTGATGAGTCAGTGCGCGTCGCGCAGCGAATCCGAACCGGTTTAGCCGCGGATCCGCATTGATAGTACAAATCATTGTGTCAAAAAACAAAGTGTGTGTAAAAGTGCGTTCACAGTGCGATCTAGATGATTTAACCGCAGATTCTCTCTGTAACAGCAGGCCATCCAAGGTTAGGGTAGCAACAGTCAGAAAGCGAATACGGAACAAATACGCAGTGGATCCGCAAAGCGGACGGACTGTGGGGCGGATTTGGCGGACCGAAAGCGAATCCGCTGCGGATCCTGATGCTAGTAGGGTAGACAACATGACACAGGACCACATGAAATGAAAACACATAGAAATGAGAGCACATTTCACTACATTTCTCAAGATTAAGCTTCAATAAATAACAACTAACTGAACTGTAATAGAATTATGTCATCATGTCTCACAATTACACTGATGTTGCTTTAAACTCACATATTGTCTAAAAAAAACTTGACAGCTGACACTGTGTAAAAATGATAAAAAGTTGTAATATAATATAATACATCATAACATAATGTTACAGTCAAAGTCTATGACTAAATTAAGTTGTGATTTTCTGCTGGGTCTGATTTTGACTGTGCCCCCCTTTTAACCCCCCCAAATCTCAAACATTTAAAAAGACACAAGACTCAAGTTTCACTTAGATAATATTTCATATATAAACATAAAGTGTGCTGAGTTTGAATCAAGTCCATGAAATTTAAATAGAATTTTTATCCTGAAATCTGCCAGTTTTCCATGAAAAGGCCCCGTATGTTTTCTACGGCCAAATGTCTGAGAATACTCTCTCGGTGTTTTCAGGCTGACAGAACCATGCCGATGCTGGTTCCCGCACCTAGTCTTGAATCAACTCACGTGTTCACACCAAAAATCAGAGTGTTCAGGAACTGAAAAGTTGGTTCCCAACGGGAACCAAGTAAAACTTTGTTTTTCTAAGTGAACCGTGACAACACAAAAGACGTCAGACGTTCATCCAGGTCACACGCAGTAAAACAAACAAATAAAGAGCACCTGAAACTATCACGTATGAAATTAAAAGTTTTTAGCCTACAAAAACTATTATGTAGCGTTGGTCTCGCATGTACCTGTGTTTGCCTGATAAGATTCCATCTTTGGACTGGGCGTCGCTGTCATCTTCTCCACAGCAGATCAATGCTGTAGTAAAGCTTAGCGCAGATAAATAATGACTTCTATAAGTACAAACACTTGCTGGTGTCGATAATGCGATCCATGATTGTTATTTTCCTCCATGTGACATCTGTTTTTGTATGGCCTTGTTTTTATGTGGTGGTAAATCCACACCCTCTGTGGATGACGCGTCATGGGTTCACGTAAATTGTTTGAACGTGGGTCGTTCACCAGTGAACACTTTGGTTCCAAGTGGAACTGGTGCGGGAAGCGGCACCGGCATCGTTCTGACTGTTCTGAAAACAGCTTCTGGGGGTTTGGGGTTGTGGAACATTATTTCTGTTAAAGCAGCTGATCTGTTGGAGACACAGAGCTTGAAAAATGCTCAAAGTTCATTGAAGAGGTGTCTAATACTGAGTGTTGTTAAAAGATTCCAAGAAACAAGAACATGTCCAGCAGTTCAAAGTTAAGGTTGAGTTGACATTTTGGTATCAGTGTTTTGGTACAAAAATGAAACTGACTCTTCTTTATTCATGTACGATTCAGACTTAGACCAGGAGAGGCCAGGCACTGTTTGATTTCTAAGAGTGTAATAAACCAAGTATCAGTGGAAATCTTCTAGTCTCCCCTCTGCTCTCAGCGGTCCTGGACACATGTTCATGGTGATAGTTGTGTTCATGGTTGTGTTCTCCGTCTGACCTCTGCCGCACGCTAAAACTGTTACACACAGACTATTGATATTTTGTCCAGGTGATGTGTGGGAGCTTCTGCTGATGTAAACATCTCTGCCCCAAACATGAACCCTGTGTCCACAGACCGGGTGAGTTTATTTGACATTTATTTTGAGGGACATGAAACTTCCATTAATCCTAAAAATGTGAACAATGTTTTCTAATATTTATCTTATTTATTCATGCACATGTATAAATATTTGTCTCCTACATGTCCTCCTATGTCCTTTTGTATTTTCACTTTGTGACATTCAGGCCTCCTTCTCCTTCTCCTGCTCTGAGCAGCGTCTCTCTAAAGAGTGACTGGTCTAAAGATCAAATTATACAACTCAGTGAACCCAGGTAAGGACTTTCTTTTCACACTGCTCCCTCTCGCTGTTTAAAAAGAAAACATCAGCTTAAACCTAACTCCTTTTTGCCGTTTATTTTGAGTGACATGAACTATAAAACTTGTTTAAACTAAAACAGTGTTTTAGTTTATTTATTTATGCACGTGTATTAATATTTATCTCCAATGTATTTCTTTTTGTATTTTCACTTTCACTTTGTGACATGCAGGCCTCCTTCTCCTTCTGCTCTGAGCAGTGTCTCTTTAAAGAGTGACGACTCCAAAGGACTACCTCCAGACTTCAGTGAACCCAGGTAAGGACTTTCTGATCTCACAGTTCTTGGCTCTGACTCTGTTAGACTCCAGCATTGATCATTTGTGTTTGTGTATTCTGTTTAAAGGCCGAACGAATCCTCCAATTCCAGCAGTGTTTCCAGCACAAATGATGCTTCCGACTGGGACAATCCAAGGTACATGGCACGTCCAGACTGACATCATTTCTGGGACTTAGTTACTGACCTGAGGACATGTCTCATTTTGTCCTTATTGACATGCTCCTGCACTGACCCATGTCTGTCGAAAAAGTGAAGAGTCTAGAAGAGAACCTACAACCTTCAGTGTTTACATTTGTATTTGTATATTTAAAGGCCCCACGAAACCACAACCTCCAGCAGTGTTTCCAGGTCCTCAGAGGCAGATCCTTCCAGCGAGGATCATTCAAGGTAAGAAACACATCTTCAGAGACCTCTGTAACCATGACGACTAGTGCTTCAATGTGATACTAGGATGGGATCTTATTGTATCTAGTGGTTTATAAATTTTGTGTGTGCTCCGCCGATCTACGGGCTTCGCTTTTGGTTACCTCTCTCCGGTGCAAGGCCAGCCTCTGAGAAAGATCAAAGCAGTCACCGCGCCAAACATGCCAACAGCCTGNAACTACAGCGTTCTGTTAAGTTCTCATTAGGCTGTTATGATTATTTCTGAATGTGTGCGCCTTTTGTTGAACAGAGACGACAATAAATGCACTGACAGTATTTTGAATGTTAAAAAACTACAACACCAAACCATAATGTGAGTGGAAAGATTTAACGTTTCATATTTAGCTCTACAAGTATGCTCAATTCTACACATGTAGGTGCCGTAAAGTCGTGGAAAATTCATTTTAGGTCATGAAAAAGTCATGAAAAAGTTTTGTCAGTGAAAAAGAGTGGGAACCAATTTTATTTCTCCCCAATGAAATTTCTTCCCAGGATGTTGATATTCTCCCTCAGCTGGAACTACAACAACACTTAAACCGGACCATGAGCGCTGATTAGAGGCTCCTGAGAATGTGCTGCTGAATTATGTTTTGTATTTTTCACTTGAGTTTTCAGACTATCTTCAAACTTTTTTGGCAGTGCATTGTGTCACCATGGCAACTGATGAATATTCCACCCCAAGAGATACATGTAGAACACCCACAACATGGTAAAATTGTCACATTTTTATATACCACTTTTCCAGCTTCAAGGGACTTTACAACAAGGAACCACTCATCCATTCACAAACACACTCATACACCAGTGCACGCAGCCACTGGGGTCGAGGTGGGTTAAGTGTCTTGCCCAAGGACACAACGACAGCATTCATCTGTGGGAACTGGAATCACACCAGCCAATCTGTGAGTCAGTGGATCTGGCCGCTCAACCAATGATCAATCAACCAAGCGCTTTGTGTTGCATTTTTTGTATGAAAAATGTTCTATAAATAAAGTTTGATTGATTGATTGATGATGTTTATGGAGAGTGGGATTCGAACCACCAACCTTCAGATCAATGGACAAAAGCTCTACCAACAGAGCTTCTGTTGCTCTAATGAGCATGTCACTTTTGCTCACTGAAAAGAAATATAGTCATCCCTCACTATAATGCGGTTTAACTTTCACGGTCTTGCTGTTTCATGGATTTTTTTGTGTGAAATTTTGCATGCTTTTTTTTTTTTTACAGTGTATGAATGTGCATTGCGTTCCTCTCCCTGCGTCCTGATTGGCTAAGAGACTGTAGACCATTGTCAATCAATCTCCTCCAGAATTTGTTCAGTTTGCCAAATTTACATAAATATTCGATCTCAAGCCGTAAGATTCTGAAGAAGTTTTCTCCTCGACAAAACCCACAATGTCGATGAAGCGTTCTGCACCGACCAAGGCTCCTGCGGCCGCACCCAAAAGGCAGAGGAAGATCCTAACCATCGCACAAAAATTTGGACTTCTAGACACGCTGAAGGAAGGTAGAAGCACCAGGTCGGGTACCCGCAGGAAAATAGTTGCTGAAACGGGTGAGTTTTAACATTCTGGGATTTTTCGGGCGGGTATACCTCGGCGCCAGAACACCGGTCCTTTCTTCTGTGGTCACCTCCGAGCCCATCCCGACAGTGACTCCTAGTTCAGTCCTGGTTTAGTCCTCCTCTTCAGTCCTGGAATCAGTCCTAGGTTAGTCCTGGGTTACTCCTGGTTTAGTCTTGGTTCAGTCCGTGGCATATGCAGCACAAAAGTTTGATATAATCTTGGGTTGACAGGCGGGTGCGGTCTGAACTGTCCTGTGCAGGTGCGGGTCTCCAAAAATTGACCCGTGCAGGACTTAATCTTGGGTTCGTTACATAAAGAAAGAGGAAAATAACAAAAGGACGACAGCAGGAGTAAGTTTTAAGAAGGATGCAAAAAGTAAAATGTGTGGTGAGGGGTTTTACAGCCTTTAAACAGATATAATAATTGTAAAATATAAAGCTGACTACTTCGCGGATTTCACCTATCGCGGGTTATTTTTACAACGTAACTCCCGCAATAAACAAGGGACCACTCTATTACAAAAATCATAACTGTCCTTAAAACTATGCAGATATACACTTTTTCAAATTTGCACCAAAGAGTGTGATCATTACACATAAAACTTAGAAGATATTTTGACAATTTCAGCTCATTTCTGGCCCCCAATCCCTCAGCACATGCCAATCTTTATTAAGAGCGAAGCACGTGGACACGGGAGAAGCTGTCTAAAGTCTCTCCGGACCACTCAATACCACTCCATAATAAACCGTGACAAACTACAACTGTATGCCTCACTCCTCCATATTGGGTGTTTCTCTTTCAGGCTGGTGCACGGGTGACCTTTGACCCCGAGAATGCAGGAAGGATGCCTGAGGGGGGAGGTGGGGGGGTGGAGACAGGTGGTGCAATTTGGGCTTCACACGGAGGTCAGGGCAGGTCAGGATAAACAAGCTGTAATTCAGTGTGTTTAAAGGTAATATATAAGTCGTTAGGATCAACAAAAAACAATGGGGGAAGTTATGTTCAGGAAAAGTTTGGAAAAGTAAACAGGGAAATGTCAGGGTTAACGGTGTGGTTGGCTCCGAATTGATGACTCAGGTTGCCATGGTAATGGGTAAACTTGGTGAAGAAGAAGTGTCAATTTTATTACTTAAAGGGCTCGCTATTTTCTGATCTGTTATATAATGTTGTTTCCACATTAAAAACAGACAATGAGTTGTGTTCTGTTTCATTCACACATGTTTAACACACAAACCCTGCATGTTTAGACTTCATTTAGAGTTCGCTCACATAGAAAACACGCTGTTCCACCTTGTGATGTCATGTGGTAATACAGAAAGTGCTCCACTGTGTTTTTAAACTCCACACACCTTCACTAGAATCATTTGGATGATTTCAGACTTGGAATTAAATATAAAGGAGCAAGCTGTTAACTTGAAAACTACCGCTTCATGACGTCACCAGGTGAACAGAGCATTTTGAGCTTTGAGATGACTGACTAATAATGCAGTGTTGCTGAAAAATGAGTGAATGAAACTAAAAACACAACTCCAGGTATAATTGTGATTAGGTTATAACAAGGCTTAAAGCACTGTTTCCCAAAACTGGGTCATGACCCTCAGGTGAGTTGCAAGACATTGTTTTTTTGGGTCACCTTGTCACGATTAGTATGTAGGTCTGTAATATACAGTTCTGACACAGATCTACTCTCCTCCTGCACCCTGGACTGGAACGCACTACAAAAATGCAGACATGCCCACCTATCTCATTAGAAATGTTGAAATGTTGAGACATGTTTGTATAATTTCTAATCTTTTTGTAATTATTTTATTGACGGTTTTGCTCCAATATTGCTGGTTCAACTGAATGTTGAAAAGAAAAAAGAAAAGTTCTACATTTAATGTCCAAAGACGACTTATGGATCCTTTTATTGCTGCTTCAATTACTGTTTTTCATTGTTTAAAACTTGAGTAATACTAATTGTTCAGAGAGACACGATCAGTCAACAATAAAATATCCTCATTAATGTTCAATAATGGTCAAATCCACCAGATTATTTTGTGATTTACGAATAATGTCTATTGACTTGGGTCGTGAAGGTTTGTAACTTTTAAAATATGGGTCCCCAGAAAAAAAAGTTTGGGAAACACTGGCTTAAAGAGCAAAAGAGTAAATTTTGTGTAATATACCTTTAAGTAAAAGTTATTCCTAATGTACAGACAAAAGCACTTTTACTTTTGTCGTTTGTTACTTTTCATGACCCTGTTCCTGAACTTAATCAATCCTTATATCCTTATCATAACTTGGTTCTATCTTAGCACTTTACCTCCAGAGCCAAACATCTGGCGTCAACCGAATGTCAGTGTCTGTGTAGATAACATTAGCAAGAAAGGTTGCCAGCTCAATTCCAGCTCTGACTATTGTGGTTATTGTTGTTATGTCTTTGATCATGACACTTCACCTACTCACCCACCCACCTTCTGCCAGGACTGGTGGTGGTCAGAGGGAATCCGCTTCCTACCACTGAGTGCGAATGAGATCAGTACAGTACTTCAGATGAAAAGTAAAAGTTTGGTGCAGATTTTGAAATCTGATACAGTAAGATTCATGCTGAATTTTGATCAACAGAGACAGTTAAATATATATTTTCCAAGCTGTTTTTCTTTGTGTACATATAATGTGTAAAAAAAAAAAAAAAAAACCCTCAGCCTCTTCAGAAAGCAACAAAAACAAAACAAAAACAAAAAAAAAAAAGCTTTTACTTTTCAGTCTAGTTCAAAAATGTATTGGAGTAGAAAGTAAAGACACCTGCGGTCGAATGTACTGAAGTAAAAGTAAAAGTAAAAAGCAACCACTTTAAAATCTAATTAAGTAAAGTACAGTTACTTAAAATTTACAGTACTTTTTACTACTTTTACTTTGTTACGTTCCACCACTGATGAGGATTAATTCATGAAATCGATAACTTATAAAAACACTGTACAGGCAAATATTGTTAATAGTAGTTGTAACAGTACGAGTAGAAACACAGTAGAAGTATGCACTGACCTGTATCGGGGAGTCACGGTGAGGTGAGCACCGTAAAAAGAAAAAAAAAAAAACAGTCCAAACTTCACTTCAGTGTTATGGTGAGCTGAGCACTGTTAAAAACCGTCAAACCTCCCTCCGTGTGATGAATGGATGGAGCGCTGACATGAAAGATTCAGTCACAGCTCACACGTGTCCACAATGACTTAAAGACACGAGACTCCTGACAACACTAGAAAATATTACACTGTTGTGGATCTTTGTTGTTATCCAAAAAAAAAAAAAAGAGAAAAAGTTAAAAGAATGCTAATGGTATCCTTCAAAAGCTGCAATTTTCACAATTTTAAAACAATAATGTCTCATCAGTGTGGAATACTGGAATTCCTCACACTC